CTCACTTCCTCTGATTCGCTTCAGTGGGTCTCAGGTAAATCCAAAATTCAAGCAAACAGATATCATTCACTTGCTTTGGACATCATGCCCAATTTTACCAGAGAAAGCTACACCCTCCAGCATAAAGGACCAGGAGGAGAACCCTCTCACTGGACAGGAACAACTTGACCAAGTTCTAAACATGTTAGGCGTCAACTTGGACCCACCCTTGGAGAAAGTCATAACCAACTGTAAGAACATCTGCAATATATCCAATCCGGATGATGACATGGTGAAAACAAGGAACAAAGTTTTAAAGTCCACCTACGAGTTTCTCAATGCAGATAAAAGAGACTTCCGTTACCAGCTCCGTGGGGTGGCTTTCGTCATGGTTGAAGATGGCTGGAAACTGCTGAAACCTGAAGAAGTCGTGATTAATTTGGACCATGAATCTGACTACAAACCCTACTTGTACAAGTTGCCTCTGGAACTTGGTAACTTTCATCAACTGTTCAAACTTCTTGGCACAGAAGACGTTGTGTCAACCAAACAGTATGTTGAAGTGCTGTCACGAATCTTCAGAATTTCAGAAGGCAAGCAGCTTGACCCAAATGAAATGAGAACGGTGAAAAGGGTTGTCTCAGGATTGTTCAAGTCGCTCCATAATGATCCTGTGGAAATTCGCAAAGATCTTGATAGTCTCAGAGAGTTGATGTTTTATATGCCAAGTCATGATGGTAAATTAGCTAAATCCAATAGCTTGGTGTTTGATGATGCCCCACACTACAAAAGCAGAATTCAGGGTAACGTTGGAGTTCAGATGCTTGTGGACATGAGCCAGTGCTATCTGGGTAAAGATCACACCTTCCACACAAAGCTGATCATGCTACTGCCACAGAAACTAAGGCCTAGACTATTGAGTAGCATTCTTGAGGAACAACTTGATGAGGATTCTCCAAGAATGTGCCAGTTTGGAGCTCTTTGCTCACTTCAAGGCCGCCTACAGCTCTTGCTGTCTTCAGAGCAATTCCTCACAGGACTAATCAGAATAATGAAACATGAGAATGACAACGCATACCTTGTGAATGAGGAAAAAGCCATACGTCTCTGCAAAGCACTCTGTGAAGGGTTGAAAGTTTCTTGTTTTGAGAAACTCCAGACAACACTAAGAGTGAAGGGATGTAGCCCCATTCAACACAGCCGCAGCGAAACACTTGCCTTCCTCAAGAGGTATGGCACAGCTGTGATTCACCTCTACATCCAACATTCAGACAGCAAAGACATTAATTTTCTCTTGGCACTGGCAATGACATTGAAGTCTGCGACAGACAATTTGATATCTGACACATCCTACCTAATTGCCATGCTGGGCTGTAATGATATATACAGGATCACAGAAAAGCTGGACAGCCTTGGGGTCAAGTATGACTCAACAGAGCCTTCAAAACTTGAGCTTCCCCTTCCTGGAACCCCAATACCAGCTGAGATACACCACACACTCCTCATGGATCCCATGAATGTATTTTACCCAGGAGAGTATGTGGGTTACCTTGTAGACTCTGAGGGTGGAGACATGTACGGGTCCTACCAGCCTACCTATACGTATGCCATCATCGTTCAAGAAGTGGAAAAGGAGGAAGAAAGCACAAATGTCCTTGGGAAATACTTCCAGATTGACATTGGTTACACTGAGTACAAAGTTGTCAGTTCCCTTGACTTGTACAAATTCTCAAGGCAAGAAGAGAGCACCAATGCACGAGAAACTAGTGCCCCGTCAACTCCTACAAGCCCAAACAGTCGTTCCTCTGGTTCACGAACAATCCCTCCTGTTTTTGCTGGTAAGGAAAACCTCAGACCACCTTCTCAAAAACAGTCTCCGAAAAAGATCAAGCTTCACACAATTCCTGAGATTCTGAAAGAAGTGACCTTAGTAGTCGAACAAGCTTGGACGCTTCCTGAGACAGAGAGAAAGAAGATAATCCGCCGATTGTATCTCAAGTGGCATCCAGACAAAAATGCAGAGAATTTGGACGTTGCCACCGAAGTCTTCAAGCATTTACAGAATGAGATAAACAGGATGGAGAAACAAACTTTGACCGATCAGCAAAATACAGAGAGAGCTTCTAGGAGGTCCTACTCCACAGCATCATCCCGCTTCCAGTCGGAGAAGTCCTCATATCAAAGGTTTTATTCATCCTGGAACCAAGAAGCCACAAATCACAAGTCAGAAAGGCACTTCAGGGAACATTATACCAGCCATGCAGGTTCATCACAATCCCACCGTTTCTTTGTTCCCCCTACCTTTAAGACAGTTGGAAACCCAGTGGAAGCCCGTAGATGGCTGAGGCAAGCACGAGCAAACTACTCTGCTGCTCGTAATGATCTCCATAAAAATGCCAACGAGTGGGTCTGTTTCAAATGCTACCTCGCCACAAAGCTTGCACTGATAGCTGCCGACTACGCAGTCAGAGGAAAGTCAGACAAAGATGTGAAACCAACTGCACTGGCTCAAAAGGTGGAGGAGTACAACCCTCAGTTAACCGGCCTTTTGAATGATGTTCAGATCCTGGAAGGCTATGGTGTGGACAGCCTGAGAACTCGCTATCCCGATCTTCTGCCGTTCCCTCAGATTCCCAATGACAGATTCACTTCTGAAGTGGCAATGAGAGTCATGGAATGTACCGCACGAATTATCATAAAGCTTGAAACCTTTGTTCAGCAAAAAATATAAACCTGTCGTCAAAGATGAGAATAAAACAACAGTATGCATAGATCCTCGCTGGAATGGAGGACACCCATGGCTGTGTGCAATGCAGATCATGTGTTTCACTTTGAATAAAATTGGAAGTATCCAGCTGGCAGCTTATGGTACATGTGAAGTTACTACCTGTGATGGTGGTGCTGTGGTCTATGCACCGTAAATACATGTACGGCTCCCATAACATTTTAGGCTGTCTCAATTTAGATGTGCTGTAATATGTGAACAAAATCTGCATATGCTGTACATACATTTGCCTAAGCAATACGTTTTGTTTACTATAGTCCCCACATTGACTATGTTTGCTCTGAGTTAGATACAAATATGCTGCTTTTTTTACTTTATATTTTATAAAAATAATATATATATATATATATATTTTCTTGCTACAGAAAATCAGTTGAGTGTATTGAAAGAAATACATAACTTCTAAATGTCAAATACTGTCATGCAACGTGTGCTCATGCAAGAACTCAGCATGTCAAGGAAATAACGGTTACGTTTGTAAATTATGTTTTTTGTATCTTCACGGTTGATTTAAAAAAAATTCGGTAACACAGCCAGTCACAAAGCACTTTTTTGAAACGCCTCATGTACTTGCCGAGCGCTTGTGTCACCCCAAACATTTGTGGGAGTCCAACTGTGAATGGAAAACGTTTTTTTTTTGTATAGCCATGTTAAATGTTAAGGGACTGTTTTGAATTATTACCTGTTCTTATGAACCACTTCTGGGTCCCTATAGTATGACGGCAAACAGGTGCAAAAGCGTTACAACGGGCCAAAAATCCATTAGTAGAAATGCGCTGCATTTTCCAAACGATGCAAATGAAGAAACAGCTTCACCAACTTAACAAAACATGCAAAGCGTTTACTAAAAGTGCTGCATATACGAAACGCTGCAAGAAGCTCAAAACATAACACCAGGGGAGACTAGAAGAGTGATGCACACAGCTGGGACCAGAGCGCTTGATGATGTTCAGGGATTATAAAGTTGGACAACTGTCCCTGTTGTTAGAAACACCTAAAATGTTGGCTTTATTTTAACAATGTGATCACGTGATTCCTTTCAATATTATTGCTCATATAGCTAACCTAGCCATTTCAAATATACTGAAAAAACACTTACAATTATGAAACAGAATAACTCTGCTAACAGTGAAGAGGAAGTGCAGAACGTTTCTCCTACATTGAGTGTTTTGGGCCGTTGTAGCATGTTTGCACCCGTCAGCCACCGTACTTATGCAAGTCTGCATCGATATCTTCAGCTTTGGATAGAGCAGTAATGATCGAAACTCAGCTTAAACAAGTCGTAAACCTGTAGGAAAGATGCTAAAATAAAGAGTCCATGTGATTCTTTTGGCACAACCCCTACCAAGGTAACTTTTGGTCCTTGGCTTTTCCAAGGACCATGGAGCTGCACCAAACGGTGGTGCTAATTGGTTTTTACTGCAGCATTGGCTTTATTTTCCCTTTAGTAGGACTATACACACACTGACCATGAATTGTAAATGTCATTTTCAAACCATTTAAAATGTGTATTTGTTATTTTATTAAACCTCAGGCTTGAGGTTATACTCAGCCGATATCTCCTTGAGCAAACAGTGGAGAACATTTGGTACCATACATGTTGATGTACACTGTGCCATAAGGCCTAATAAATCCCCCTTAATAAATAAAATGTCTCTGTTTTTGCACCTATGTTTAAAAACATTACATGTTCATGTTGCACTTTTTAAATGTATATTTTGTATTACGTTTTAAAAAATTGTATATGGTTAGCAAAACACCCCATTGGTTTACAGGATAACTATGAATTCAGTTACTGATTATTATTACTATTATTAACATGGGAATGTTGCAGCTCGTTTCTGAAACTGCAGCATGTTTCTCCAATTGGAAGTGTTTTGGGCCATTTTCTGCCTCCGTAATGACGACATGTTTTAACTTAAGCAAACACTGGATTTGACGCCACACATTCTTGCCAAATATAGATGGGAACCAATGAAAGGTGGCTCACTTGCTGGTCCATGGTGTTTGAACCTTCTTTTTTTAAATGCATCCTGGTGGTACTGCAGTGCTTTTCCACAAGAGTGCACCAGAGAGCCAATACATTTTGATCACAACTCTATTCATTTCCACATTATGAATCCAGATTAAAAAAGGACACAGCCGGTCCTCTGGTGCCTTTATGTTTTTGATTTTTTTTTATCAAACAAGAAGTGACTAGTCTTGAGGGAAAAAAAAGTAAATGAGAGACACAAAGTAGAAGAATAGCACAAAGTTTATTCAACATACAAAAATAATAAATACACTTTACACACTTATAAAATATGTCAGAACACCTGGGAAAACTGCAAATGATCTTCTACATAATACTGACAATGATAACACGACACAATGAGATAATATTTTAAAAACAGTGGTGCAGATTCATTGATGAATGTTTGGATCATTTAAAAATATTGCCCTTTTTATTCCTGATTTTACAGATGCGAATGTCACCTGACATATTACGTAAAAAATAATCCCGTTATTTCTCCATTCAGAATCATATAATCTACAGATTTCATTCGCATTAAATTGACTGTATTGAAGGTGCTGAACAAACTCAGACCAGTTTACTGCAATAAAAACATGTGATATTGCTAAAAGCATAACAGCATGCTTATTGTGGCCAACTGGTGCAAACGTGCTACGGAGGCCCAAAACACTTCTAACAGGGACAATAAAAAGTGAGGCATGGGACCCGAGCGCTTGTTGCCATTCAGGGATTAGAAAGTTGGTCAACTGTCAACTTTATAATGTCCCCTGGTTTGTTTTGAGCTTCTTGCAGCGTTTTATATTTGTTTCATTTAAGCAGCACTTTTAGTAACTGCTGTGTGTGTTCGTCATCGTTTCTGAAGCTGCAGTGTATTTCTCCTAATGGAAATGTGTTGGGTCGTTACGTAAAGCATTTGCACCCGTCGGCCACCGTACGCTTAAGGGTTGGGCTTAAAAGAATAATTACAGGCCATACACACATACTTTAACTAAAGAACAAAAACAATTACACACGTGACACATACCGAGTAACACTTCATTAATCTAAACACATGGTTTTAATCTAAACCATATGAATAACTCGTGTTGTTTCCAGATTACAAAAAACAAACAAAAAAAGATAAAATCCATCTCTGAAGTGACAAAATATGTACTCTAATTAAACAAAAACATGCTAAACAACAAGTCAAACACACCACATACCAAGGGCTTGGAGCCAAAAGGGCACATAAAGCAAAATAAATATTCTGCTTTTGAGATGTATTTTTTGATTAATCCAAGCCTTTGATATGTGTGTGTATTTATTGCACCACAAGATAATATTGCATAGGATGTAAGCTGTTTCCAGCTCCTCATTGCCCAGCCATGATACTGTGCGTGTTAAAGATCCTCCACAAAGCTCTGATGCAGACACATTTGGAACCGAGTGCCAATTTGTTTCAGCTGAATGGTTAGAAGGTCATAAAAGCAACTAAAAGGATGCGTTTCATGACAACTCCAACATGTACGCCAGAAGGCATTTGTATTTTTACCGGCCTGGATGCACCAGTGGGAGATCAGAACAGACCCAGTGTGGTACAAAGATAATAAAAAAAATATCAGGCCAGATATAAACAGTTGTGCTTGTTGCCTCCCAGAAGATGCATCTACAGAGAGATGGAGAATCGATTACCTTGTCAGAGTCTTTTTAGCACTCCTGATTCTCGCTGCAAGTGGAGGTGACCCCGGCCTTGGACAGGAAGAGCTTTCCGCTGGGACACACGCAGACCTCTAACAGACCCTGAGCGTTTCCAGAGACCCCTTCTTCGCTCAGGGGCAGGCGCGGCATCCGCACCATCTCCGCATCGAGCACCAGCTGCACGAGCAAGGACGAAACAAGGAGAGAGGGATTTGAATCCACAAGGAAACAACACTTTCCACTTAGGCAAATGCTCAAACACATAGTGGCACACAGCCTGAGGTGAGAGGTCGATGTTTTACTTAAGAAGCAATACGTAACTGTAGAAATACTCTGTGACAAGTGAAAGTCCTGTATTCAAAAGTCAAAGTACTTTGCCTAAAGGCCCATTTCAGAGTTATATATGTATATGAAATTACTGGATTTGAATCATTTGGGAAGAAGTACTCCTATCCTTGACTTAAAGGGGTCCTACTATGCTCATGTTCAGGTTCATATACTGTAAGTATTTTGTGTCGTTGTGTGATGTCACGATGTTGCCAAAGGAGTCGAATGGAGGCGTTTCAGGCACGGGGAGGGATTGTGTGGGAGAGAAATCCCCTCTGGAGGCAACACAAGGATTGTAACCTTTGCAGACCATTTACATGCACACAAACTGTTGGGGAAATATTTTCCAAGGCTCATAACTTTGACCCAGTTTATCAGTTCAAACTGTCCTGACTGAGCACACGCACCTGTAACCTTGGCTGCTGTGCTCTCAGTGTTCTGTCTCCCTGTTCCTGCCTGTTGGCGTCAGCTGATAGAGGTGTTATGATTCTATCTTGTTATGCAGCATGTTGATTATTCTCTCTGATCTAGCTAAATACATGGGTCTGGGGTAGAGACGTAGAGTTCTTCAGATTTGACGTGGTAACTCTACCGTGAAGTCAGAACCTCTGACTCTTGGACATGTGATGTGAATTCTCCGGCCGAAGCTCCAAATAAACCGTCAGTGTTTGCCATCAAAGCTCCAGCTCTCCTCGTGTCTCCTTTGAGTCCTGACTCTCCATTGCTACAGAAGTTTCCCCCACACTAACCTATAGAATACACTACAGGAAAGCATAATAGGGCCCCTTTAAATCTGAAAGATAGTGTAGTGTTTACCTTTCTAATAACATTCCATGAATTCATGTTTTACTTTTTACAACAATTTAAAGTAGAAGAAATATAGCACTAAAGTAGAAGTTGTGTAATGAGCTCCCTCAGGGCGATCTGTCGGGTACTTTTTACTAAATCTGTCCAAGAGATGGAAAAAGCTGAGCTACTGTCCAACTGAGTGAGGCTCACATCGAAGTGAGCCTGAAAGCGATTATAGAAGCTTGAAGCGGTATGTCGCTGGAAAAGCATTATTCCCTTGGTAATAAAAAAAAGAAACAGCGTGTGTTCTGAAGACGTCAGGAAGTTTAGGATGTTTCTCTTACCATTCCTATACTAGACTGCAGGAGGATGTCCATGTTGGAAGCAGCTTCGATGTTTCCAGCCAACGCTTTGAGATGAACTCCTTTTGGGGCGTCCAAACTGAGAGAGCGGGTGGGACACTCCAACCTGAAGAGGAAATAGAGCGTGGCTGTATAAAGAGAACTGGATACAACATTGGAGGCAGGGTCCTGTTCCCTCCTATGAGAGATGCTCAGTGGCGCATGAAGCCAAAATGGTTGAGAGTGGCGCAGTAATGAGTCCTAAATCTATCTTAAATTGTACGACTTCCTGTTCCCTGGTCTGGAGGTCAATGGTTTTCTGAATGTGTTTTTGGTTGTTAGCCTGAAGTAAGGTATGTGGGTCACAAGCTGAAGAGATTTGTTAACATTTTGTTCTACTCGAAAAACAACAAGTCAGTAAATACCCCAACTGTTGAAATTTAGAAAATGGCTGTGCTTAGACAAGTGCTCTAGAAGCGCTGAATTGCCATCACGCCCCCAACATTAGCCGCCCTTTGGCTTTTGAGCGGTGTTGACGTGAAAGTTTTCATGTGGTGGGAGCCGTGGCTGGTGGGTGCCGTTATAGGGGCCCCAACGGTTTAGGCCTTTCCTACTTTCAAAATATCATTAAACTTGGGTGGGTGTGAGGTATGTGAAGGTGGTTACGGGGCTGAGGGCGGAAAGACGTGTCGTATGGCGAGGGGAGGAGGGCGTGTGGTTGTGTGGCCCACAAGAGATAGTGTGGTTCTGCAAGAAAGGTGGGCAGATAGAGAGGAAACCAGTGCTTGGTATCTGTTAAGGGGAGGCGCCGGTTTTGGGTGCCAGGCCTACAGGGAGAGGAGCCCATCCATCACTACGCTTTGTGAGATATTTTTATTTAAACACTAACTTATGTAAAATATTGACATTTTAAGTGTCAGTCCGCACATTGTTTATGAGACGATATCCACCCAGATTGTGGTTCAACCTGGGTTGAGAGGAGGAGGTCCAGCCCTGGAGTGATGGTTTTAGGCAATAGGCATAGGTCCTGGGCAGACTATGTAAAAAAGAGTAGTGATGAGAAAGGAACATGTCTAAGTGTGTGTTGCTCAAAAAAATACCCCAAACCAGGATTCCACCCATTCTAGGCCATGCCTTGCCATATGCCCCTCTATTTTCACTTCTTGTTGCCCAAAACCAGCTGATTTTATGTATAAAGGTTTTTTTTTTAAAAGGGAAATTGATGAGTGGGGAAAAGGAGAAGGCTGAGGTCATGCGGGAGAGGTGTGAGCGCGAAGAAGTACGTGCGGTGATGTGGGAGACACGCCCGATATCCATGGGATTATCCAAGGATCTTGTGTGAGAGACGCCAGTATGTGGAAGGGGACTCAAAAAACAGCCTGTTCCTCCCTGTCTTTTGCGGGTAGTATACCCGCGAAGGGCGTCGGAGGTTGCCCCTTTCTCATCTTCCATTCTTCATCTCAGTGTATCCTCGTCACACAAAACGATGGGCCGGTATTCTTACTACGCCATCCGCCGAGGGATTATAAGCTTGGGGGATAGCATTCCTCGAAACGGCCAATATTTCTGCAAGGCATGACTACGGGACGTCAGGTCGACGGTTGGCGCGGCCGAAGGGACCTGTGTCGCCCATCTCAAGCATAGCTTGGAACTTTCCCACGAGGCCAGCGTCCCTGGGGTTTTGGGGGTTTAGGACTCTCCGAGCCTGCAGCAGGGGGTGACGACTTTTCGGGTCCTTTCAGGAGTCGCGCCCGAGGCAATGGCTTTGGTTGCGAGCGGACATTTAAAACCCTTGCGGGGGAGGAATGGGCTGGAACCGGACCGGCAGTCACACACTTTAAATGTGAATTTATGTAGTGCGTAGAAGACGAGTGTGGGTGGTGTAGAAGTGAGATGTGTTACTGGTGTGGTTGGCATGTGTGTTATCACCGAAAAAGTGGTGCCGCGTGGGGGGAAGGTAAAGCAAAGCCATAATGTGAAGGTGATAGATGTATGCGTGGGAGGGTATGTATTTGCGCGGGTGAAGTTTATGGTTGAAACCGTTGGAGGGAGTGGGCAACCGTTGTTAAGCCTGTTCTTTCTTTCTTTGGTTGTTCCGAGGCCCCATGGGCTTGGAAGTATACCTGGGCTTCCGGTTTCTGAAGGAAAGTTGGGATTTGACAGTTGATGGCGGGGGAGCTACCAGGCCAGTATCCCTCCGGCGCGAGGTTGAGAGAACGGCCCTGCTCTCCAGTCACAGGTTAGCCCCTGCTGTATAGCGATGCTAATTGTGGAGACGATGGGGCGACCGACCCTATCATTACGGCCCAAAACCAGGTCGGGCATCTGTTTCTCTGATAAGCACAAGAAGCGTTTTCTTGATCAGGGGCTGTCTGGAGGTGTCACTGCCAGGGGCCTAGACATCTTCCGATATTACGTCATATCGGAGCGCAAAAGTCTGATCAAGCTCCGTTTTAGGGAAGGACTTCCTGGGTACGGGGAGGAGAAAGAGAGGAGGGCGGGGGTTTTATTTTCTGATGGGGGCTGGGGGTGAGGTTCCCTGGCACACCGGGCGAAACAAGTGCTTATGATATAAAAGACGCATCAAAAACGGTGCATTGTTGCCATAGGTCCCCTTTAAACAATTTTGGCTTCCAGTGGGTTGGGTCGAATGCGCAATAGTTTTTGTTTCGCCAGGGGACTCCCCCCAATTCAACTGTTTCCCGATAATTCCCACATTGACCTTTAGGTCTTTCGATGCATGTAATATTATTATGAACACTTAGCAGCGGTGGGAAACAGCTTCCACGCTCAGGGTCTTCCAACAAGGGTTTCAGATCCTGCAGCAGGGGGAGGTCCTCCACCGAGTGCTGGAACAGGGCCGCTCCTTCAGACCCTGATGCGGAAAGGGAGGGGGACACATGGTTGAGAGGAGAAATTTCAAGTGGTTGGAAACTACTACACTGAACAACTTTAGGTTTTGTTTAAATACATTTATTCTATTTAATTTTGATCTATGTTGGCACATTTTTAACCTTACTTTAAATGTCGGTTCCCATTCTTATTTTCATATGGATTTTTTTCCTTTGGACGGTTTTTACCTTTAACCACTTGTTATTCTTACTTTTTTTTTTTCTTTTTATGAACCATCCTTGGTTAAAAATTCCCATAAAGAAAATAAATAGTAAATAAGGATAGTGCTGTGCTCGCACCATTTTCTTAGCTTTAAGCTTGTGTTGTATAACATTATTTTTAATAATTTTTGTATTTTATTGTATTTATTTAAATTTCGCGCGCCCCCCGGTAAAAATAAAAACATTTGTAAAAGGAATTATTCCTTAAAAATTTCACTGTTATTAACAAAAAACATCATATTTATTTTGAGGTAACTGATTTTTTAGCATCAGCTTGGTAATACACTGGGCAACAAAAATATGAAATTGCAACACTTTTGGGTTTTTGCTCCCCATTTTTTCATGAGGATGAACCCAAAGGATCTAAAACATTTTCTATATCCACAAAATTAACTATTTTCTCTCCAAATATTTGTTCACAACATCTGAAAAAAAATCTCGTGGAATAGGTGGAGGCCACTTCTCCTTGCCGAGATAGATCCACTGTCCCACCTCACGGGGTGTGGCATTTATCAAGGATGGGCTTGATTTGGGGACAGGCATGATTTTGCAAAGTGTGGCCCTTCAGCATGGCCACAATCAAAAGGCCCACTCTGGAAACGTGCAGTTCTTGCTTGTATTGGTGGTCTGGGGGGGTCCGGAAAACCCTAGGGTTACAACCCCTAAATCGCGCGTGAAGCCCGCGAGAGCGCGCGTAGACGGGGAGGGTCACCGGCCAGTCGTTGGCTTCGCATAGAGTTGATTCATGTGGTGTTGTGTGATAGTGTGGGTGGCGTGGTTGTGGTGTGTGTTGTCTTATCTGTCCGTGTTGCTCGATGGGGCTGTGGTCGGGAGAAGGGTGTGGTGGAGTGAGTTGGCGGTCGAGGGAAACTTGGAACACGCTGTCGTATACCGGCCCGGATCCAGAGCATCCCAAACATGTTCACGTTCATGGGTGGAGCATGTTAGGGTTTAGTGTTCTGTGTGTGGAAGCCCCCCTGCCCCCCTGAATAAAGCAGAAAACTG